GACAAAAAACAGTTTTACTAAGCTGTTTGACATTACAACAGCTGGTAATGTCACTTTTGTTAATGTCTTTAACCACATTTTTAACAAAACAGCAGATGCTCATCACAAAAGCCATTTTCCTCTTCCATCCAAATGTGTAAAATCAGCTAGCTCGCTGCTTCAATTAGAGGCGATCCTCTTAAGCGGGGGAACTGACCTGAAAACAGGGCACCCGTTTGAGGGGTACTCGATTCCCTAGGTGCTTAACTGATCCGTAAAAAAGGCGGTCGTGTTTTTTGTCACCTCTCTGGAAAGGTCATCCGGTGTGTGTCTGTGAGGAAGAGACCCCAAGACGGTGTTATCTGATTTAAGAACATCTGTATTTCCGCCCCGAATAGGCAGCAGCTGCAGAAAGAGCGGGCCTTCCTTACCGGGGCACCTCTCTTGCTGCCATGCTGGTTTTGCAGTTATTTTGCGCTCTTAGCTGATGCACATTTAGTATTTTATGCATCAGATTTTCTTTTTAACTATGCTGTTGCATAGCTAGATTGTTTTCTTCCCTTGCGGGCCCCAAATGCACATGCAAGAATGTGTGCTCATCTGTTTTCCATGCACAGAGCATTGCCCACCCGATTAGCACATGAAAAATCCCTGTTTGTAAGAAAAATAAGCAAGAGCTCTCTTATCAGAAGATTAAAAAAAAAAAAGAAACTTGCATATGCATTTTGGCACCATAGCCACGGTGGAGAGGTTGACCCTGGTTTAAGATTTGAGGTGGAAACAAAAAGATCAATGCGTTTTACAAATACGTTGCATTACTGTTAGTCTTTTATGTCGCCGTTTGAAGTTCCCGGATGCATGAATTTCACTTTGATTAGGCTTCAGTTTGACTTTTGCCGTCAAGTTGAGAAGCTCATTCTGTGTGTTGTGTAGTAACCTTCCCTAAAATCTTAGCTTGGCATAGGGAAATGGGAACTGGCTTAATGTGGAAATCTGTTTTTATCCTATTTTGATCTGGACCCCTTATAGGGGAGTGTCCAGATGAGCTTTTCCAGGTGCAACTAAGGTCGTTTTTAAAACAACTTTATATTTCGTGTCTAAATTCATCTCTTGTGTTTTTTTTATTTTGTTTTAATATTGTTTTCATTTTAGTCTGGAGGTCAGCTCCATTCCTGTAACTGTTACTAGGCAACAATTAAAAAGAAATCTCTAAAGGTTTTTACAGCTACTGTTTACTGCATAGAAAAAATGTTGAGCCCGTGTATATTTATTATTTTCAATTTTTTTACTATCGCACTTTGCTCTGAAACCAGAGACTGTCAAAAAAGGAAAATCACCCCATAGCCCAAAGACATCTAGCCTTATCATGCATGAATGATGAATTTAAATTCTTCCATTATTCTTATTGATAAAACATATAATTGGCTAAATCACGGAGATATAATTAAACTTACTACAAATGATTATTGACATACTCATTTAAAAATTATTAGTGTTGGAGTTTAAATTGAAAACAGAAAGATGTAATATTTTTTCCTAGCTTTTATATCCCTCGAGATCCTGAGAGTTAGAAAGATTCAGAAACACACTTTTTGCCCTTGAGCTGGGAGAATTTTGCTCCCAAATTTCCACGATTCTCGGTCCACGTTTGTAACTGATTTGCATCTGTCTGTCCGTCCTCTTTCTCGGCAAGGATTGTTGCCAAGGGATACACCGGCCACAATATTCATAGAGACAAAAAGTATTAACCGTCTATTGGAGAGCATTTTCAGGTGATGTAATTTAAAGTTTGTAATTGTGAGCCTTCATATTTGACCCTGGGTTGTGAGGATGATGTTTATCCGGTACGAGCAGAAACGTGATGGAGAGTAACTGCCCAATCACAGCTAATCAATTGAGCTTGAATTTCAAATATTGGAGAGTCGCAGTGAACTGCTTCCAAACAATTTGTTGTCTTCGACTCCGATCCTAGAAAGCATTGCACGTGGTCCTACCTTTCCCCAGGCTGTAAGATGACTTCTGTGCGCTGCAAATCAAAAGGTGGCATTCTGGCTTTGATAAATTGAGTGACATAATGTACTAAGATCATGATTTCACCCCAAAATTGTAAGAGTATATTTGTTTGCATCTGTATAGCTCATAGTGCGAACTTGCAAGCATCTGACTCTACATATTTAAAATATAGTAATAAAAGTAAGATAAATGGAATTATCCAATTTGGAGGCGGCATTCCAGCTATAGTTAATGTGTGCTTGTCCAGAGCAAGCATTGAGGGGGTTTGGGACCCACAGTTGTATTTTGGAAGATGAGGAAGTTACATTTTAAAACATGGTAGCAGATTTCAGTGCCTTGAGAATTTGTGTATTTTAGAGATTTTTAGTCTCTCCAACGCCTTCAGGAGTTTTTCACCTAATACTGTCTTGCCTGAGAATCACCTGTGTTAAAAGCAAACAATTAGGTTGAGATTTTGTTCCAAAAGCCTTTTGAAGCATTGTCCCATCTTTCCCATTGTGATAAAAGTTAACTGCAGGTTGTATTTCAGTGGGTTTCTGTTGCATGTGCAGTGAAGGGCAAAGTCAAAGACTTCTTATTCTAATAATTTAGGTCTCATATGTATGCAGGGAAACCTCAAGAAATACACCAGTGGAGACAGGTGACATCTGAAAGCAGGCAGGCAAAGTTGATGTGTCCCTTCTCTGGGTGCCTGGAAGATGCTGCCATAGACAATTCTGGATCCCTGATTTTAATATCCCTGCTTCTCTGTGGGCAGACGTCTTTTTCTTGAATCTTTGCGCTTTATATTTTCTCTCCCTGCTGTCAATAATTCATTTCCCATAGGCATTGAAAAACAGCATAGATTCCTCCAGTCACTTCTAGCTTCTTGGGCCGGTGTTTGGGACTGGGATGTCTCTGTTAGGAGGGGAAATGGATGGTACAAGTCAGATATTTCATTGGTGCTGTCCCATTTGCCCACAGAGCTGTTTTCCCTGAGCACAGTGGGTGCATCTACACATGCACTTTAATGCACATTTTAATGCACACTAAAGCATCACAACAAACGCTAATGCATATTAAAATAAGCTAATGCACATTTTTCAAGTACTTTACAATGTAGGTACTAGATTTAATGCGCATTACCTAAAGCACATTAATTGAACGTGTAGACGCTCCCAGCAAGCAGAACGAGCCAGCAGCAGGCACTTTCCTTGCTTAGTAATCCTCACGCCTGCACTTCCAGTGAATTTTGTCTCTGCTCCCTTGCAGAGCCCAGCTTGTGAGTGCGCCCCTCGCAGTCCACTTTTCCTCTGCCTCACACACCCCTGAGGTTGCCAAACACTTCCTTAGCACCTGAATTTGCAGCCGCTCATTGAACAAATCCCTCTGATTCTCTTTGAGTTAGCTCTTGTCAAAGCCTTGCCATGAAGACCTGGCGCCGTGGGTCAAGTGGCTTCTGTTATAGCCAGCTATCACTGTGGTTTAATCTGTCCTCTCATTTTGCCTGAACAAAGGTAATTAGTACGCTTGTCTAACGATAAAAAAAGGCACCGACTAACACTTCCATATTTCATGGATCCAGGACGAGAAGGCTCCACACCCTTTCTAAAAATGAGAGCTGTGTGTGTGTGGGCATGTGAGAGAGAGGGAGAGAGAGAGAGAAGCATGCTACACTGTAGTATATTATAATTATTTTAAGTTTTTGCTTAAAGAAACACTCTACTCTTTTAAAGTACATTTAAGCCAACCATCCTTCCATCGACTTCAGTGCGTGTTGGGTCAGATCCTAATAGAGGTGCTGCAGGAACACAAGGGAATTTAATAACAAAAAAATAGTCTTCTCTTTTTTTTTTTTTTTTTTTTTTACACACCAAGGCCCCGGTTCAATTATACTAATGCAGGTTCCTGTGCAGAACTCCGATCTCACTTGAAGGGTGGCTTATTCTGGTTTAACTCAGATCCGTTGCAAATGACCTTAAGTCCAAGCAAAAGCAGCCAGGCTTAAACTGAAATAAAGAGTATTCAGACAGTCATTTTTCTCATTTAACTAAATTGGCCAAAATCGTATTCTAAATGAGGGGCAACGCTTCCTGGCATTAGTGAACTAAATGAGATCATCAAGGAGGTCTCCACTGGCTGGGTGGGCGCAGAACAAAGGTCCCAGTGTCCCAAGCAACAGGGAGGAAGGAGGACCCAAATCGGACAAGCCTTCGCAGCCCTTTTCATCCTTTGCTTCTGGGTACTTGATGATGCCTGGGTGCTTGGGTGGCCCCAGTCAATGGGGCTTTCTCAAATGCTTCAGAAACCCAGCATCCCCTGGGTCACCAGCAGGAACACACGGAGGCAGATTTCAAAGGACACATTTATATTGCAATCCAGGCAGAGTGTTTTCAGATGGTGATAGCAATATGCGGCAGTACTTTAAGTTGCTATTCAGCTCAGCCTTTTAAAAGAGTTCATATCGAGAAGGTCTTTCTTGCAGGTGGCAAACATTTTCACTTGGTTAGAAAGAAATGGAAAGCTATTTGTGAACGGGGCAGGCTGAAGTGGATCATCTAATAACCTGAGCTACAGAGGGTGCAGTCAAGTCTTTGTCACCCATGACACCCTATTTACCTCGGCAAGGAGGCTGAGAGTCAAATCTGCTGTTTACTGAGGACGAAGGAACAAGATAAATGCCTGAATGGGGAGTGCGCACCCAGATCCCAACAATGCGTATGTTCCTTTGAAGGTGGCGGGGTCACAAGCAAATGATTTTCTGAACAAGTATGACTGTGTGCATTATTCTGGGGAAAAATGCAGAGCTAAAATGGAGGCTTTATTGTTAACCTGAGAGGTTAATCTTTATCACCGCATGTTACTGGTGGAACCTCCCAGACAATCAGAGCACAGAGCTGCTATCCAGTCGTTCCCACATAATCATTAACTGTACAGTAGATGTAATTAATTTCTGGGCTTTCAGCTGCGAGTTCTGACCTTGCGATATGCTTATTCATTGCCACTTGGTAATGCACAACTTTTGGTGAGTGACGCCGCGCAGGGAACCTCTGAACCCGCTTCCCGAGCCACTCGGCGCTTATTCTCTTCTGCGTACCTGCGGTATTTTTAATCAATGCATTTTGATAGATTTACTTGATAATTCTGCACTGAAACGCTCCTTGCTGGAATGGCAGTGCTCCCGGCAGCGGTAGCTTGATCCCTTGCTGGATTTTGCAGTACATAAATGAAAGCGCCAGAAGTTTTTTCAAGCCAAATGTTGCTTGTCTGGGTCTGTAGACGTTGGAGCTAGTCTAAATGTTCTGGTGTAACGCAATTCTCTTTTACTGAGACCTTGGGGTTGGGACCTTTCGCCCTGTCCCCAGCGGGGTTCTGCTGGATCCCTTTCTGGATGTGGGGCTGACTGCTGCAGCCCCGGGGATGCTGGAAGCATGAGTCCCCATGCCTGCCTTGTGCAAGTCCCTGCAGCTCCCGAGCAAAGCTGTCATTGCGGAGAGCTTCTGGATCACCAGGAACGTCACCGTGTTGTGGCTGTTTGGATCAACCCGTGTTTAAAGCAGGTGCAACGTTCCCCATGAACTTCTTGGCCAGCTCTGGTATAAATGCATTTCTTTTGTTCAGTAGATATTGAAAAGCTCCAGAAAGCAGCAATCAGGAGAGGCCTCTGCACTGCGGCTGTATGTCACTGTGTAGGACCACTTGAGACTGGCTGGTTTTTCCAGCCTCCTGCCAATGCTATGGAGCAGCAATACCCCGGGAAGCCTAAAGAGAGGTAGATTCTCCCCCGCCCCAGGAAAGTTGGCTCTAAACAGGTGGGGAGGGAAGAGACTGTAATGTGGTGGGAAGGGAGGAGAGGGGTCTACACAGAGCCCCTAGCAGGTGGCATTTAGTCTCCCTGGTATGGGTGCCAAGGTGGGTATGGGGCTTGTGGTGCTAGGAAGGGGGATTTGAAGGTGTCCATGGAGCAATAGCTGTCTTTGTTTGGGGAATGGGAAAAACGGAGAGGTGTGCACAGCCCCAGGTGGGGATGGAGGGAATGGGAGACCATGGTACAGACAAGGGGTGGTACCAGGACACCCAGGGTCCCTTCTTTTGGGGAGCTGGAACAAGCATATAGACATGATAGTATCTGGTGAGGGGAGAGCAGAGGTATACGACGCATTAAGCCTACATTACTACGCATTACTACACATTAATACTACGCATTAAGCCTACAGAGGCTGCAATGTGTGTGACCTCCAGTATAATAATACCTCTTAATAATAAGAATAATGATAGCCCCATCAGGAGCGTCAGGTGAGCCCAAACGTGTCCTGTATTCATTATGCTGCTTTCAGATCTCAGCATTTGAGTGTATAATAAGCTTATTACTTTGTACATCCAAAACCAGTGTCATATTTTGCTTGAATAGCATATAAGAAATTTTTACATAATGCTGTTTTCTTGTTCCAACCTTTCAACTAAATCCTGCACCACAGTGACAACAAGAAACGCGTTTTTGCAAAGATACAGAATTATTTTATGACAAAAGCAACACTTGGAGTAACAATCTGGAAAAGAAGAGACACTTTTTTTCCCCTCCTTTGTCACTCTCATTAAGGTTTTAAGAGACTTTCTGTGCTGTGTCTCACTGTTGGAATACCTGTCTCCAAACAGCTTTCTGTAGTGGAAAATCCAATTTAATCTCCAACAATTTTATCAGTTCTGCACTACTTTTCTTCTCTTATTGGAAAATAAAATAAAAAGATCATATGTCAAATTGATGACAAGGTTTAAAGCTTCTTAGCTTGCATTAATACATTTATGCATCAATTATATGTTTGTCCATTTATGCATGTATAGCTGAAGGCAGCTTCTTTGTAGGCTGAGGTTTATTTATGCTGCATAGCATAGTTTATTCCAGTCTCTAGGGCTCTCAAATGGCAGGGCTTGGGGTTTTTTTATTATGAGGGGGAGATTATTCAACCTTTTGGATTTTCGTGAGAACAAATTTCCTCTTTAGGGAAAGGGAAACTGGAGAAATGGAAATACATTTTCTGCCCAGGAATGAATATGCATTTAACGGCTTAAAGTGTAGCTCTAGCTTTACTCATCTTACATAAACACACGTCTTGCACTTGCATAGATGACTGGATGCTCAGGCAAGCTTTGCTTTCCACTGATGGTGGAGGGCTAGATGGCATGTAGAATTGGGAATAGGGTGAGCACATTTCAGCTGAGCTCCAGCTCCCCAGTTCTGAATCAGCTCAGGTCTATAAGGTCTGAAACTCATTACCTCCCCATCGTTTGAGGGAAATTAGGAGGTCGACGTGGACACCTGTGTGAAGTTCTGCTGGCTTTGGAGTGAAATGGTTGCCATGGGCTTATGATGCAAAATGTACAATCCCTTTGCTGGCAATCTTATGCCATGCATGAAGCTAACAGATTCCAGTCCCGTAACATCCTTAGAGGGACAACCAAGGTATGTCTACACTGTTTGCAGCCTGCTCTTGGGTGGGCCTGTCAAATGCACCCTCCTTTTCCATGCATGCCAAACCCGGAATAGAAGCAGTGAATCTATTCGGCAGGTGCTCTCTTCCCTCACTGCCCGCACCCTCTACACCACTCCCGTATACAGGGCAGACAGATGTTGAGTAATGGTGGGGGCACCGCGAGGGTAGTAACAACCTCACGTCCAGGTTTGGCGTGGCTGGAGTGGGGGGCAGGAGTGTGTTTCTTGAGTGCTCTCAAGAGTAGGGCGGCCAGCCTGAGATGGGGACTGACCCGAGAAGGAAACTGCATTTCACCGGTGCGCCAGATCCTTGGCTCTTGTAAATCGGTACAACTCCACTGCTTTCAATGCCAGTTTTTGTATGCTGAGAATCCAGCCCGTGCCCCTGGTCGGCTCGGTCGCAGATAATACACACGCGGGTGAGGCAGCGTGGGAAAGCTGGCGACGCCACTGCTGCGCTCCACCTTTCCTGGGGGAAGTGACTCTCACCGTCGCTCCAGTGGCCTGGCCATGACCTTTCATCAACACTAAATGAAGTGGGAAGGGACGTTTAGAAATTGAAACCATGCCTTTCTTCAAACGAGCACTGTATAAAGCTGTGCCCTCCGGAGAAAGACGTTGCCTTGGTTGTGAAATACGCCTGTAGCTAAAAAGCTTTTGGCATTGTTAACTATCACACGTTTCATTTCAAGGTGGTTTTTCATTCCTTCAGGCACTATTGTGTAACTGTGTTCCTCAAAACCAGGCAGAAGTTCAGGCAGAAGCATCAAACGCTTCAAAGTAGCTTTTATACAACGCAAAAATAGCAAGAAAAGCACTCGGGGTCACAAACTACCAAAAGTCAAGGTTGCTCCGGAGACACTGACTCGGCCATGCTGGGCGTCTTGTGTGTTCTGCGGTACGTGTCGAGAGCCGGCTGCTGCCCGTTGTTACGCTGACGTGATAAGGTGGATGTTTGAAAAGGGGAGAAAGGAATAGGCCATGCTGCTAAAATGTGAGATGGCTCAAATAAAGCTGCTTGTGAAATGGGAATGCTAGACATTTCTCTGGGCTTGCTGGTAATGTTGCATCCACAATATGATGGTTTCAGTCTAAAATCCTGTGATTTTAAATGAGGATCTGGAAAGACCAAGAGAAAGTGGCCGTGGTTGCTTTCTACAAAACCCAATGGGAGTAACATCCTAACTGGGTGCATCTACACGTGCATTTTAGTGTGCATTAGCCTATTTTAATGCGCATTAAAGCTGTGCTTTTTAGTTAATGCACATTAAAATGGGCTAATGTGCATTTTTCTAGTACCTCACAGTGGAGGTACTAGATTTAATGCGCATTAGCTAAAGCTCATTAATGAATGTGTAGACACGCCCTATGTGTCTTGTACTCCTTACGATTTCCTTTGGCGTTTGCTAGTGTTGCTGTAACTGTGCTTCAGGGCCCAGCTTTCCCAAGGAGTCCCTGCTGAGGATGAGGCATACAATCCGCGCTCTGTAAAGCCTGAAGTTGCTTCATCATGTCTGACAATAAAACACTTGAATAAATGAGTCCAGGATAGGGGTGATTGGCACCGTTTGACTTTTGCCTTTTGTACCTGATGTTGCAACCAAGAATGGAAATTTTCAGCCCAGAAAGCAACTCTCAGGAAGTTCTCAGATTATGAAATGAAGGATATTTCATATGGCGGGGTTGCTTTGAGCACCCACTACCATAAAAATCAACTTTCTCCAGAGGCCCAAATTCTGACCTTTGTGTTGATTAGTATTGTACTCCATCAGCAGTTGCAATCAGCAGACTAAAATAAAAGTAAAGATATCAGAGTTTGGAGCTAAGAAATTGTGAAGAGATGACAGCAGTGTTTAATGATGTGGGCTGTGTCTGCAGTTGGGGGGGTGGGGAACAAGTCTGTATAGCAGTTGCCAGAAATCAATGCCTTGAATTGGATAAAGGTGTTATGTTATTTTCACTTGGATATTAAGTGATAATTAGTATTGTGTGTGATCATATCAAAAACATAGAGCCGCGTGGCTCTTCATTTATGCAGCATCTTTAGACACTCTGGCAGTCCTCCACTTTGTAGTCTGAGCTACACTGGAGGTAAAGTACTGTTTGCTTCCACTATAAATGTTTATTTCCTGTCTCTGCTGTTTGTGAATTTAATTTATAATGATCCACTGCCGGTTATTATCATGTACAATGTGCTCCTTTGTAGAAAATCATTAGAATAATATATCAGCTTGAGTTGTGAGACATTTCAGTAATGTGCTCACGGAGGTGTGGCTTGTTACTGGTTTGGGTACAAAAGATAAAAGGGGGTTAAAGCAATATTTTAGCCTTCTGATATATCCCTTCTCAGCTAGATGAGACAGGAAAACTACACCAGCCGATTTTATTTACTTAACAGTTGACTTTTCCAATGTTTTTATAAAACATTGGCTCTAGGCATCATCAGTATTTTGAGTGACTATATCTGTTGACATATCACTTAGAAACCCGTTCAGTGACAGATTTTAGGAATTTTATATGAGCTCGAGCTGCAGGAAAAGGCCATTAAAATGACAAGGGCTTCTTCTGCATACACTTGCCATAGCTTTGTCCTTGATTTTCAGATGTTTAGCGGTAAATCTGTTTCATGTGCTTCTGCAAATACTATCTTGTTTGTTAAATGATTAGTTCATCAGAAAGTTTTTTTTTTTTAATATATATATCTTTACGATGAACAGGCATCTATGATCTTTAAAGAGAATCCAAGGTCATTGCTTCCTCTGCAAATGATTTTCTATATTTCTGATAAGTGAAGTAGATTCAAGAGAAATGAATACCGTACAGTTCTTTGCATCACTTCTGAATAGAGCAGGTGATGTCATACTAATCATTTATCATCAGGTGACACTGGAAGACACTTATTTCCTTTTGAAAAGTACAGGTGAAATGAAGGCAACCGATGATGTTTCTGACAATGCCATGTTCAGTGGTCACATTTGACAGGGAAAAAGGGCTAATGTGACAAATACAGGTCTTGGGTCAATGAGATGGAGTATTATATGCCTACACTGGGACATGTGCATAGGTTTTTTGACTTCAGTGAACTCATTTGGCCTTCAGTGGCATACCTGTATACACACGTCTGCAGACTGAGGCTGCTCTTGCCTTGTGTCCTGTTGGGGCAGAGCATGAAGTCAGCAAGGTCCTCTACGAGCCCATAAGACTCCTTAATTAGGATCCTAATAGTGTTATTCTTCGTTCAGCAGCACAACCTTATCAAGCTCCCCCTTTTCCCTCTACTGCCTTGACGATAAAAACCCATCCGTAATTAGCTAAATTAACTACTCTTCCCAGTAGAAATCTCATGTACGTTAGGTACACGGGTGGTTTTATTCTGAACTATTTTATGCATCTAATCAGTCTATACAAATAAACACTCAATTCCATTGTCTTGCAAATGAGAAAGATAAATAGTTTTCCCCATTTTCAGCCTTATAAAATTTGACATGCAGAGAAAATTATACACTTCTTTGTTCAGTATCATCAAAAGAGATGTTGTGCTTACATGAGTGATGAGCAGTGGGCATCAAGTAGTGTTCTGGAAAGGAAGTGGCATTTCCCACAATGGTTTATCTGGGAAGTGTGAATGGCATTTAATAAAATAGATTTTCCAACAAATGACAGGCTGGAGCCTTGAAGCAAAAAGTACTTCTGCCCTGTGTCAATCAGTCGCTCTCTTCCAACTCAGCACATTTCACACTTTATCCAAAGTATAATGTTGATGTATACGAAAAGTGGTCTACGCTGAACGGATGCTAGCAAAGCAAATCCTGGCTGGAGAGAGAGAGTAGTAAAATAGCAGCAGCAGTTGGCTTAACAAGGTAGGTTTGATCTTCACTTGCAAGAACTGGTCCAGCAATTAATGTGCGTTAAAGGTTCTCTTTTCAAAACTCATTCCTGAAGTCTGACACCGTTGCTTACAATAACCTCTCCTAGTGCCTCCTGAAGTGAACTTCCCTTTGTGAGGCTTTCCTGTCTCAGTCTGCTTGGCCTGAGCTTCTGCGACTCTCCTGCGGTGCACCCACCAAGGTGTAAAGTCCTCAGGCAAGCTGAGTTGGAGGGCATCTCCATGCTCTCTCCATGCTCCCCTATGCTCTTCCTTTTTTGTGCAGTATCCTTTTCCCTTTTACACCATGGCAGAGCTGGAACCCTTGAACTGGGCCATCACTAGAAATAAAAGCATATCAGATAACACGTGCTAAAATCCTAATGT